GCGATCATCAACCGCACAATCAAGACACACTTGCACTCCACTTCGCCGACCCACGCGCAATATGCAAGAACGCCCGCACGCATGAACGATAATGGATGGACGGCGCGTGTGCCCGCGCGGGCAACGCGCGGGCACGAATGACTGGCCATCAATGACCGCCAGCATTGGATGCCAATCGTACCCGATCACATACATGAGCGATACATTGAGCATACATGGGGCATTCAGCCCCCATTGAAGACCCCCTGTTGCAGACCCCCTCTTTCACCCTCCAAGGCCATGGCCCGAGAACGCGGCGCCCTCTTAGCCCCGGCCCACGGGCCCTGGCCAACGTCCAAAGTCGTCGATGGGGCTCCGCTCCACCCGCCGTTCCAGCGGGGACCTTGGCGCTGGCGCCCCTGCGATCGCAGGCCATGGGGCGCGCGCGGGGCCGCGCGGCTCGCTGGGCGGGCGCCGCGCATTGAGCCCGCGCGCGGCGCGGCGCCCTCGTGGCCGAGGGAACCTTGCTGGGACTGACGGGGCCCATGGGGCCGGCGCGGCTCGCGCGGCCCACGAGCCGCGCGCGGTCGATGGACATCTTACAAAGTAATTGAAGGAACTGGAAAAGGCCCGCGTCGCCCCCGCGCGCGCAGGGCTGACGCCCATCGACGCGGCGCATGTTAAACCGAAGACGCGGGCGCCCGCGTTCAACTGAGGCTCCGCAACTTCTTTTCCAGGCGGGATCTCGGCATCGGCGTCGGGCCCCAGCGCCCCGACATTCCGAGCTCGCATCGCGCTCTGCCTGTCAATCGCTGCCCGATCCCGCGCGCGTCAGACCCGGGGGCGTCGTTGGCGCCACAACGGCGGCGTCGGCGTCGCAGCGGCGAGCGGCGGCGGCGACGTCCTCGACGCTTCCGCTCGCCCTTGGCCAAGGATCGAAATTGTCCGGTCGAAACCGTTTCCCAATGCTTTCCCAATGCGTTTCCAGCGCGTTTCTCTCCCCCCTCCCGGGCGGGTCGGACAGCGACTGGCAGGTGTCGCGCGATGAGAACTAGACGCTCTCTCCGAACAGTTCCTCCATTGCACCTCCTGCCCGCTGCAGCCGCCGCCTTCCGCCCGCGCTGCCCGGCGCTGCCGCCGCCCGGCGCTGCTGCCCGCTGCCGCTGCGCGCCGCCGCCGCCGATGCCCGCCGCGCCTCCTGCCCCGTTGCCGTCATCGTCGGCGCTCTCGCATGGCGTCGCCCGTTCGCCAGCCGGTGTTATTGTTTGTTCATATCTATATATATAAACATAAACATAACGGGCGTTTGCTTGCTGTTCCCAGCTTGCGCCGGCTCGAGAAACTAAGTTCCAACAGGTCGCGCGGGGACGTTTTTCGATCATTTTGAATGCCCGTGTTCCATCTTTTCCGGGTGCCCGCCGCAGGCTCACAAGACGCGCTCAGGGCGTTTAACTTCAAGTATCTCGGCACGACGCACCGCGACCCAGTGCGACCCTGTGCGCCGCGTGCAACTGAGCGTAGCACACTGTAATTAGTGTAAAGTAGCCTGGATGGCTTATCTTGGCGCGTCCCTACGCAGCCCCATGCCGCGTAGCTGAATTCGACGGAGCTGCCGGGCTGTTGCAAGAAACTCGGCGGACAACTACCGTGCGCCAAGTTGCACGTAACGTCGCATACAATCAGATTGCGCGCTACCACGCGCAACTGGGCGCGACTGAGTCTCGGCGAGGGCAAGTGAACGCGGCCGAGCGCAGGCGAGTGCAGCCGCTGCGTAAGTCCGCGTAACTTAGTGTAACTCACTGTAACAGATGTCGTTTAACATTGCCCAGTACGATGACCCCGTGTAGCCACGTGCAAATGCGCGCAACTCAATGTAGCTCAGTGCAGCTGGGTGCGAAACACTGTAACGTTGTGTAGCTTCATGTAACTGAATGTAAAGGACTATAACGTAGTGTAACGTATTGGAACATAATGTGAGCGCGTGGAACTCAGTGCTAACTTAATGTAACTTAATGCAACAGACGAAAAATCGTGAAACTTAATGCAACTCAAGGTAACTGAATGTGACTTTGGGACACCCTAAAGAAAGCAATGCAAAAGGGCCCGCTCGCGACGACGCCAGCCGCGGCCGCGGTGCAACGCTCGGCTGGATTCGGCCGAAGATGGCGACTTCTGCGCGCGCTGACCCGGCGCCCAAGCTCAACTTCCTCCGCCCGCGGATCGCCCCGCCCCCAGAGGCGAGAACCCCCCCCCGCGAACGCCGGCTACACAACCGTCCAGGACTAGTTACAACCAGCCATCTAGAGACGACAATAATACTCTAGTGAGAAAGCTTCGCGCAACTACTCATACGAAAAACGCGTCTAAAAGGGTATGCACTCGTTCTGGGAGGCAGCATGAGTGCCGCGGTTGGAATTGCGTCGTTTAAACCCGAGGCACAAAAAAACGGACAATGGCCGCCAACCTTACTGCATTTCCACGATTGGAAAAAAGAGAACTAGAGCCATTCCAAAAACCGTGCAACGCGTCAAGAACAGCGCGAGCGCATTTCAAAGACTTTGCACGCGCCCGCCGGAAGACCGGCGCGCGCCTCCCCAGATCTATGCAGGACCAGCGGCCTGAACGGAGCCCTCCGGGATCGACTGGGCCTGTCCGACGTCTCCTGGGCGGTCCGCGGAAGGAGATGGGACCCCCCAGGAATCCTGCAGCGATCTCCAAGGGTAGGGTTGTCAACGCGATCTCTGATGAACCCTGTCAGGGGCTCTCAGGGATCCTGCAATGGGGGAACATAACGTGGCATAAACATAAAAAATCGGAGGTCCGCGCGGATTTCTCGGATCGGCGCTGGACCCCCTCCCTGGCGCGGCGCCGCCGCCGGGGGGCCCCAGCGCCGATCCGAGAAATCCGCGCGGACCTCAGAGTTTTTATGTTTATGTCACTTCTTGTTCCCCTATGTAAGAATCTCTCGGACATCCTGGAAGGTTCCCTCCAGAAACGCGCGCGGCTCTTTCATGGGCCCCGGAAGGGTCGCCCAGGAATCTGGGGAGGATCCCCGCGGGAACCTGCAAGGGCTGTTTCGGAAGATTCCCCGGGAATCCCGCGAGGATCTCCGCGGAATGCCGGGGTGATCCCCCGTGAACTCTGTAAGGATCTCTCGAGGATCTTGCAAGGATCTCTCGGACCTCCTGGGCGGCTCTCTCAGGAAGCGCGCGTGGTTCTCTCGGGGATCCCAGAAGGATCACCCATGAATCCTACGAAGATCTCCTGAGGATCATGCAGCGGACTCTCGGGAATCCGCACCGTGCATTTCAGGGACCCTCTCAGGATTCACCAAGGGTCACGCATGGATTTCTTCAAGAACCCGTAAAGATTTGCCGGGGTTCCTGCAAGGATCTCCGAGGGATCCCGGACGGATCTGGCGGGATCTTGTTATGAGCTCTCAGGAATATTGCGCGGGTCTCTGGGGCATTTTAGAAGAATCCTGCATGGATCTTCGAAGAATCTTGGAAGGGTCTCCGAAGGATCGCGATGCGCAACATATCCTCGCAAGATCCCTGCGGGAATCCGAAGGGGCTGCCAGAAGAATCCTGGAAAGAAGGCCCCAAGAACTTAGGAAAATAACCTCTGACGAATCCCACGAAAAATCTGGAACGCAAGACGACAGAATCCGGAAGGACGGGAAGAATCTCCCAGGAAGAAGTCCAGGAAGAATCTCCCAGAAATTCGAGCGAATCCCTTCAGGAGTCCGTGAAGACTCCTTCAGGAATTAAGGGGGATCCTTCAGGAACCCTGACGGGAATCCTTCATGGAACTCAGACGAATTACCACACGGGACTTTTGTCCGAAGAACCGCGAAGAATGTATGAAGGACCATGGAAAGTCTCTGAAGAACCACGGGCAATCCCGACATAATCACGAAGATCCATGGGAAAGCCAGAAGCATGACGCTTCCTGGAGAAACTCTGGATCATCACGAGAGATCCTGAGAATCTTCGAAATACATTTGAGAAATCAGGGGGGACTTCTAGAGGAATCCGACAGAATCCAAAAAAGCGCTGGGAACCCTTGATACATCCCATACGAATCCCCCTCGACTCTGGAGCAATCCTTAGAAATCCAGAACATCTCTGAGGACTCCACAGGAAACCCTGCTGAAGTATTGCAAAGATGCTGAAACAAATCGAAGAGTCTCGAAGTAATGTTCACACAATATGTAAAAGATCCCGAATGCATCCTTGAAGAAACACCCGGAATCCTTGAATAATCGTTCGAACAGAACCTGGGAGAATCTCAGAAAGAAATCTGTAGGGTGTCTCGGAGGAACCTGTAAGGAATCCCGAAGGAACCTCCAAGGAATCTTCGCAGAGCTTCCAAAGCGGTTGGAATGGGTACTACTTGGTTGGAACTGATACCAACATGTTCTGGATCCGTCACAATCGAATGTGATCCGTCCAAGTTCGAACCCGACCCCCTCCCCCCCTTCCGAAATTAAAGGGTTCGGGACCTCCGAACATCCTCGCCGCTGGCAACATCGTCGTCGTCCTTTGTCGGCGGATCGGTCGGTAGAACGGGTACCGTCGTCGTCGGGCGGGACACGTTGACATGGCGTCGTGCTCGTCGTCGTCCTCGTCGTTGTCGTTTGTTGGCGCCGGGTGTCATCGCCGTCGCCGTCGCCATTGCCGTCGTCGCGGGCGAATCCCCTTGGTCGGGCGGGCGGGTGCGACTCGTCGTCGACGTCTTCGTGGCGGGTCGGTCGGTCGGGCGGGCGGGACACGTCGTCATCGTTTGCCAGCGCCGGGGGGGAGTTCTAACCCCTCGTCCCGATTTTCAAGGCAAGGGTGTGGTGGGGGGCTGTCGGACACACACACACACACACCTGCCTCCCTCCCAGCGTGCTCAGAAGACGCCCTATCTTAGGTCGGATGAGCCAATGGCAACAATGATGTTCAACCAGGGCTAGTGCCTCGTTCGACCTTCAAGGAGGGGCAGCCCAATCTCACCATGATTTTCTGCCCGCGAGCCTGTGCAAGTCTCCGTCCCTCGCCGCCTCCATCCCGGGGCACAGCCGTGCCTGAGGGGACACGGGGGGGCCTTGGCTCAGGGCGGGAAACATCGACTTGGAATCGGCGGTGCATTGCCGAAAGATCGGCGATACGTAGCGAAGCTGCGCGCTCCTCGTTGGCGGCAGAGATCGGGGAGACGTGAGACTCGGGGGACTCTTGGCCTGACAGGGCCATCAAGAACATGACGAGACCCGATCTGAAATTTGACGCGAAATCTCGCTGCAGCCATCCCACGAAAAATGGACAATCAAGATCCAGGACGCGCCCGTCAAAAAGCGTGGGGGCTAACCCGAGCTCTGGCGCACTCGAGTCTCACCTTTCCCTGAAGAAGAATGCCAGGCCGATCTGTGGAGTCGATGCCCCCCCCCTTGGGCCAACCATAACTTTTGGGTCCCCCGCGACCCTTCGGGGCGATCCGGGCTAACCCCGGAGCGCTCTCGGCGAGGCGCAGGGCGAGCACCTCGGGGCCGCCAGCCCGCCGGGAGCCCACGGGCGCGCCCGAAATCCTCGACATGCCCCGAGGCGGCGCGGCGCGGGGTGCCCCGAAAGCGCTCTCGCTGCCCCCGCGGTGCCCCCAGGCGCCGCGGCGCGCGCCGCGGCGCCGCCGCGCGCGCAGGCGCCGGCGCTCCGGCGGCCGCGGGCCTGTGCAGCACCAGCGCCACGTGCCGCAGCGCCTCGGCCGCGGTGCCCCGGGCGAGCGCGTAGGCGGCGCCGTGGGCGCGGCGCTGGTGCATCCAGAGGCCCTGCTCGCCGCGCGCGAGCCTCGAGGCCGCCCAGCAGGGTGGGGTCGGAGTGGTCCGTCGGAGCAGATCCGAGGGCGGCTCGGGCGTCGCTTCATGGGGGGGCGAGAACTGCGGGGGGGGAGAGAGGTACACTTTTTGGGCCCTCCAGGCTCCCTTTTGGGCCCTAGAGGGCCCCTTTGGGGGCCTTGAAAGGCCCTTTTCTGCAGCCTCACTGCCTCCCTCTATTTATCGCCCCCCTATTACGCGATGCCCGACCAGCGGATCGCGGCGCATCGCTGGGATGCATCGGCGATACGGCTCGACGTGGGGCCGAAGCGGGGTCGTGCGCGCGGCGCCAGTTCGGAGGCTGCTGAAGGCGTCTGTGGCCTACGGCTCAAGGTGTCCCCAGCTATTCGGTCCAAGCTGGAGCCCCTGGGGCCCTTTGGACCTCGTGAGGGGGTGCTCTGGAGACCGTGGAGGTCTCTTCGGGAATTCTGGTCACATCTTGGGACAGTGACACGCAGCACCCGACTGGTGCATCCACGCGCCCTGCTCGACGCGCGCGACCCCCAGGGGCTGGGGCAGATCTGGGCTGGTGGACCGCACCGCATCGCCAGGATGCACCGACAATGCGCTCGACGTGGGGCCGATCTTCTCCGCGCGCACGTCGCCGACGCACGGCCGACGCACCCGCGCTGCATCGGCGATGCGGCTCCATCCTCCGACACAGCGACGGAGGAAAGAGGAGGGAGGAGGGAGGAGGGGGGCAGAGGGAGGAGGGAGGAGGAGGGGGGAGGGAGGAGGAGGGGGGAGAGGGGAGGGAGGGAGGAGGGAGGAGGAAGTAGGAAGAGGAAACGAGGGATGAGGAGGAGGAGGAGGAGGAGGAGGAGGAGGAGGAGGAGGAGGAGGAGGAGGAGGAGGGGAGGAGAAGGAGAGGAGGAGGAGGAGGAGGAGAGGAGGAGGAGGAGGAGGAGGGAGGAGGGAGAGAAAGAGGGAAGGAGAGGGAAGAAAGAAGAGGGGAGAGGAGGGAAGGGGTGGAAAAGGGCTTTGCCTGGGCCTGCTCCCGGAGTTCCGATGGCCCCCGGGAGCCTGCCGCACGTGGGGCAGAGCAGCAGGCCCTCGGCGGCCCACGCTTCCAGGCGCCAGCGGGCGACCAGGCGGACGACGCCGCCGGGCGTCACGCGGGCATCGGCAAAGTGCTGCCCCACCTGGGGCGGACGGTGCAGTGGCGCAGCGCACAAGGTGGGTGGGAGGGCTTCTCAGGAGGAGGCTGCTTCTCAGAAGGGGCTGCCCCTATATATATATATATATATATATATATATGTATATATATATATGTATATACACACATCTATAGAACAGGCCCGCGCCTTCTAAGAAGCAGGGGTGCTTCAAAGAAGCCCTCCCCCCTCCCCCCAACCCCCTCTGCGCGTGGCCGAATAAACGTCGGTCAGAAGAGATTCGGGCCGGGCGAAATGGGGGGATAGCAAAGGGGGGGGGTTGAGAATCAGCTCGCGCAGCTGATCTTCCCGGCGCCTCCCGGCGCCAGAGGCGGCCATGTATCGAGGAATTGGCCCCTCGGTGGGGCCGAAACCAGCTGCATGAAGCAGATTTCGTACCCCCCCATTTCCCAATCCCCCCCTTTCGTCCGGCCCGAGAAATACATTCAAACATGAAGTAGGAAGCCGGCTGGAGTAGATTGGCTCCAGGCCCTCCCAGAGAATGACAAAGCACAGCAGAAGCATGTCGGTTCTTGGAGCAGGACGGCGCTCGAAGAAGATCTGGGTCTGGGTATCCAGAAATGCCGACCCTCAACGACCGACGTGTAACCCGGGCGGGGGGGGGGACGGCAATCAGCAGATCATGGGGGCGGGGGGCCGGGGGGGGGAGGGGGCAATATACGGATGGCGGGGGACAGGTGGAAGGGGGCCCGAGAAGCTCATGGCTACCATGCAGCCGCGGCCCCCAAGCGCGGTGCTGGGTAATTAGGCGCGCCTTTCTCTCTCGTCCCCCCCCCCCTCCGTTCATTCCCCCCGCGCCCCCGTGCGTGCCCGTGCGAGGCCCCGCGCACCCGTGCGTGCCCCGCGCGTTCACCAACCGGGCGGGCCCCCAGGGGCAGTCCTGCGGAGCGCCCCTTTGGGGTGCCACTCGCTTCTCCGCTGCGCTGGCCCTGAGACCCTCCGGGGAGCTTGGCGCGCGCAACGGCTGGAAGCCCGACCACTGTGCAGCACACGTTAGGCGTAGAACACATGATGACGACGCCCTGCTTTTTTCACGCGCAGCCGATAGGTAGCCCAGGCGGACAAGATATCACGCTTGGCCCTGGACCCCCCGGGACCTTGGAGGCGGCCAAGGGGTCTGTGGAGGGGACCCGGAAAGATCGATCAAGACGAGGGGACAAGGGCCAACATCCGCTCAGAATCGGTCCTCCCAGGGTCCATCTGGTGCAACTTTCACCCCGGATCTGTTTCTGACGGTCCCGTGGCCCGAAGACGGCCCAAGGAGACTGAGCATTGTTTGCGCCAGGTTCGTGTCGTCCCGACTTCGGCGTTGGTTTATGACACCGCGGGGATCGTTCAACCTTGAACGATCGGCCGTTCCCGAGACGTCCGAATCGTTCCACGTCGAACGATTCTGGGTCGCCCGCGGCGTTCAACGTTGAACGCCGCTGGCAGGGTCGCCGCCGCTCGTCACGACACGAACCCACCGCAACCGATCCCAATCCCCATCAGCGCGGTCTGGGTCCCACTGGCCGATTCACCCCCCTGGATGGGGATATAGGCTGCTCTCTTCGGGTTTCGAGGGGCATATCCCCAACTGAGGTGGTGAGACGGTGGGGCTCGAGATGTGGATGGGGATGGGGATAGGGATCGGTTAAACGATACTGAAAAACATAATAATCGAACAAACATACCCAGAGCCTCGAAAACCGCTCCCTTCTCCTGCTCGCCAGAACCGATGCTGGGCAACCGCAGACCCCCTGCCGGCACCAACGTGTACCAGCCCCGAAGGGCCCCCTGCAACATGCAAACAAAAATCTTTGGGCGCCCCAAACGGACTCGGAACAAATCAGCACGATACCCAATAACAAGTGTTGTCCAAAACCGGCAGCGGCCGCTGTTGGGCAGGGGGCCTTCTGCTTCAACAGGACAGCGCCCGCGGCGACACCGACACCGAATCCTGTTCAGAATAAACAAGAACTGCTTTCGGCCTTCGTACCCCTTCTTTCCGAACCGACTTTGACCGTCCCGAAAGCGCGCAATCCGCGCCCCCCGCATTGCCGTCCGCCAGGACACCGCGCCCACGGGCTCCTCAGAGGCGTCCCTGGCGCTCGGCAAGCGGCAGGCCTCGCCCAACACCAGCTCCTGGATGGGGCCGGGGCGGGGGAAAGCGCGCGCGGGGAGGGGGGAGATCCGAATTTCGAACAGAAGACGTTGGCCGGGAGATGCCTCGGCCGTCAAGGGGAGGAACATGTCCTTCGCTCGTGGCTCTCGGAGAACGGATATTGAAAACATCATCTGGGATCGTCTGGCTATGTGGCAGGCTCGGACCAAGATTCAAGGATAAGCCGGAACCGGGAGCGCCCTCCCTCACCACCACCACCACCACCACCACCACCACCACCACCACCGCGCGGAGACCCCCCCGCCCCCACGGCAAGGGGGGGGCTCCACTCCACACAACCACCACCACGAGGAGACCCCCCCCCCCACCCGCGAGCAGCTCCTTCCCTTCCCTTCCCTTCCACCAGGACAACCCCCTCCCCACGGCCCAAAGAGAAGGAGAAGCGACAAAAAACATGAAACATGGAGGGGGAGGGGGGAGGAGGGGAGGTGGGAGAGGGGTCGGCGGTTCTCACCCTCGCCTGCTGACTGAGGGGAGGCACCCAGAGCTTTAGCGATGATGCTTCCAATCCCAGCGGTCTCCTAGATGTCCACCTCTGGGCCCATCTCGGGCCCCAGGACCAACAGCTACCCATTGGGAGGGGTTCGGGACCTCTGGGGACGCACATGGGAAAAACTCATGTCATTGGATATCTGGGTCCAGCTCAACAGGAGGTGCCCCTGCATCCACACCGAGCCAGGCCAGGTCAATCCTGGGGCCCGGGATGGCGTGCAGACCTCCTGTCCGATGGCAGAAGGGTATGCACGTATACCTACACCTATACCCATACCTATTCCTAGACCTATACATTTACACATACTATACATGTGTATGTACATATACGCATATACATGTGTGCATACGTGTATGTATGATGTCGATGCAAATGCATCGAGTGTGTGACACCGATGATCGATCCCACAGAAGCGTGCGCCACGCAATGCAATTTGTGCAACATATGTGGGGCAAGCCATGCCGTACATTCCATGAGGTGCAATACATAGTATGCAATACATGCGGTCCAAAACATGACATGCAACATATGTGGTGCACTAAACGTTGTGTAATCTACGTGGCGCAGTCAGTGTGATGCCATACCTGCAGTGCAATATGTGTTGTGAAACGAACGTCGTGACATATATGTTGTGCAGCCTGAGGTGCCATCTCGGCTGTGCACTATATATACATATTCGTGTGTGCGCGTCGCAATCAATGTTGTGCAATCAATGTTGGAAACTGTATGTGGTGCACTATGTCTGGTGCAATATGTACACTTATACATATAACGGCGCACCGGGTCCGGGGGCGCGGGGCCGGGACCTCGACCACAAATGTGGGCCCCGGGGGGCCCGGAGGCTCGTCGGACCGCCGGACGCCGTCCAAGATCGTTCGCAGGCGGCTTCGGAACGCGCTCCGATGGCTCCAGATGCCTTCCAAGACGCCTGTCATGACACCAAGAAGGTCCCAGAAGCCTCCAAGACGCTCCGAGAGGCAGCCCAAGAGAGGCCCAAGAAGCAAAAATCGTGCCATTCCTATAGGAAAACGTATATTTTGCGCATGTTCGCCTCTTGGGCTTTCACCGCGTCCAAGACGGCCCAAGAGGCGCCCAAGACGGTCTACGAGGCCTCCGGGAGCGCTCCAAGGCTGCGCACGAGTGGCCCAGGACGGCCCCAAGACGGCCGAAGAGAGCCCCAAGACGAGTTCGAGAGGGGTCCCAGACGGAGAAAGCCAACCTCGAATTCCGAGCTTCCGGCCCAAGAGGCTCCAGGAGGCGCCAAAATGCCGCCAAGAGGCGCCAAAAGGCTCCCAAAAGCACCCCAAGACGTTCCGAGAGGCACCCCAAGAGAGGTCCAAGAAACAAAAATCGTGCCATTCCTATGGGAAAACGTATATTTTTCGCATGTTCGCATCTTGGGCTTTCACCGCGTCCAAGACGGCCCAAGAGGCCTCCAAGACGGCCTAGGAGGCCTCCGGGAGCGCTCCAAGGCTGCGCACGAGTGGCTCAGGACGGCCCCAAGACGGCCCAAGAGAACCCCAAGACGACTTCGAGAGGGGTCCCAGAAGGAGAAAGCCACTCTCGAATTCCGAGCTTCCGGCCCAACATATCCCAGGAGGCGCCAAAACGCCGCCCAGAGGCGCCAAAAGGCTTCCAAAATCAGCCCAAGACGTTCCGAGAGGCACCCCAAGAGAGGTCCAAGAAACAAAAATCGTGCCATTCCTATTGGGAAACGTATATTTTTCGCATGTTCGCATCTTGGGCTTTCACCGCGTCCAAGACGGCCCAAGAGGCCTCCAAGACCGCCCCAAGACGGCCCAAGAAGCTTCCAAGAGGGCCCCAGGACAGCCCAAGAGGGCCCCAAGACGGCCCAAGAGGCGCCCAAGATGGCCCAAGAGGGCCCCAAGACGGGCCCAAGAGGGGGCCCAGAGGGGGACCACGAACCGCAAGCTCGAGCCTTCCGCCCCAAGAGGCCGCCAGGAGGCCCCAAGGAGGCCCCTCAAGAGGCCCCAGGAGACCCCCAAGAGGCCCAAAGGAGGCCCCGAGAAGCCCCAAATCGGCCCCCAAAATGCTTCGAACCTGCTTCCAGGAGGCCCCCGACAGGTTCAGAGGCTCCCGAGAAGCTACGTCAAACTCCCAGCGAGCGGCCGGACGAGGCCCCCCACAAAATCACAAGAGGGTTGCAGTATTTGTATCCTTCAGCGCTCTCTGGCCTTCTTCCCCCTGCCCCCTTCCCTGCGACTTTCGTTGACTCAAGCTCGCCTCCTAGCTAGAACCTAAGCGCGCGCGAAGCGCGCGCGCGGTTCTAGTATACATGTATGAAAAAACTCAGCATGTGGGGAACACGTGTTTCAGGGGGATGCTCGGGAAATGGGGGTGCGACATTGCCTGGGAAGCCTGGGCCCCTGAACCCCCGCTCCGCGAGGCCACGCAGGGAGACCGCGCGGACGACCCCGAACGCCGACCGCACCTGGACGGCGACCTCGGCCCCAGCGGCGGCCTCGCTTGCGGACGTGCTGGCGGCCCCCGCGCCGCTGCGCTGGCCCTGCTCTTCCGAGGCCGGTGACGCGTCCATGTCTGGCACTGTTCGGTGGTCCCCGGGGGTGCGCAACGAGTTGCACGCTGGCATTCGCACCTGCTGGCAGCACATCCTACGACGGCACATTCGTAATCATGCGCTGCACGACGAGGCAACGAATCTACTCTTGGGTGGGATCGAAAAACTCACGCCCTTCCCACCCAGCCGCGTGAAGGACAACTGCTAGGACAAAGGACTTTGAACAATCTCCGCTGCACCCATCCAGCGAGTTTCGGACACAGCGGCTGGATATCGCCGACGTGTGCGTTATTGGTGGGGCTGAGTGGGATGAATGCACTTTGGGATAACGCACGTCCTGAGGTAGTAAATGCGGATATCTTCGGGCCCCAGGGCTCCTGACACATCTAAGTGCCTCCCGACGTTTTGAACACCAGGGTCGTCCACGGCGACACCATCATCGAAAACCGACCAGACCGATAGCGAAACCGAAAACGACCGACACCGACAGGCCGCAATCAGCCTAGAAGGGCGCAACGACGCAACAACGATACAACAACCACAGAACAACCGACCGAAACGAACCGACTGCGACGCAACTGGCCCGATCGAACCGCGGACACATTTGGCAATCGGTTCCCAGCGAAGAAGGCAGACCAACTACCCTCAAGATAAGCAACCCGTACTCGCGGGGCCCTCAATAAAAAACACCCGAAGCAAGGACCGACCAAGGCGGGACCGTTGAGTAGACGCCCGGGACTGTCTCACAAACGCGAATCATGGGGTCGGGGTGTGTTGTTCACTCCTTGGCAGTGGGGTGCGCAACCAACCAGGATCATAAGGATGAATCGCTTTCCAAGGACGCGCCTTCACTCTTGCGCCTCTGGCCCATCCTTGGCCACCACCGCTGGCCACTGTCGCTCAAACGGATTCGACCGGGTGCCCGAAGCTCTCGCATCCTTGCTGCACATCCCTACGACCCTCCTGTCGCGCCGTGCATCAACAAATCCCGGCCTCGGACTGCTGCCGCCGGAGGGCCCAATAAAGCCCCACCAAGCCGCGGTACTCGTAGGCCGCGCCGTCCGCGGAAAGCGCCAACGCGGCGGCGGCGCCCTCGAGGAACAACGATAGGGGGGGACTGAGGTAGGAGGGGATGCATCGACCTGGAATCGGCGGTACATCGCCGATAGATTGGCGATGGGCCTCCGATCGTGAATCCGCACCTTCCTGGGCAGGTCGGGGCTGGCGGGCCCCTATCGCCAATCAATGGGCGATTGGGGCTATCGGCTATCGGCCCCCCATCGGCGATCCACGCCCATCCCCCCCCGACTGTTGCCCCCGAGCCCTCCTCGTCCCCGAGCCGCTGGGCGGCCGCCGAGTCGCAGAGCTGCGCGGCCGCGCGGCCGAGGCACAGGGCGGCCGAGCGGCAGGGCCCCGCCGCTGGTCGGCGGCGCGCGCAGGGGGGCTGGCGCGAGGGGGGTGGGCCTCCTGAGAGGGCGGGAGCGAGGGAGGAGGACGATGAGGAGGAGGACGATGAGGAGGAGAGCGGAGGAGAGCGGACGAGGAGGAGGAGGAGGAGGAGGAGGAGGAGGACGAAAAGGAGGAGGAGGAAATGGAGGAGGAGGAGGAGGAGGAGGAGGACGAGGCGGAGGAGGAGGAGGAGGAAGAGAAGGAGGGCCTCCTGAGAGGCAGGGGCCTCCTGGAGGGCGGAGGGGCCCAAAAGGGCCTCGGAGATGGCCTCCTAGCGGAGGGCTCCCAGGAGGCCCCACAGGCCCTCTCAGCGGGGGGGCGCAAACATGGATCAGCGTGCATGGATTTGGCGCGCGGTCGCCAAATCCTTACCCGCGCTCAGCACATTGGGATAATGGAAAAGTTTGCCCTCCTCCTCCTCCTCCTCCTCCTCCTCCTCCTCCTCTTCCTTAGGCACCCGCCTGCGTCGGCGGCCCCGGCGCAGTCGAGAGAATCATCAGCTTTGTTTCGGCCCTAAAACGGGGGGATGATGATCCTCCCCCGTTTTCCGCCGACCCGCCTCGGTTCCCAAGCGTCGCGTTTCGCGCTTGAGGATTTTCAACCCTTGTGGTGGACTCATTCGGCTTTTCTGGGTTATGCCAGCCCGTCGGTTTTGAACCCCCGTTGGAGGGATCTCGCCTGGAAGGCGAAGTCCAGCCCCCTTGATAGTGAGGAGCTATACGGGCGCAAGGTGGGAGGTGCACCATGATGTCGGGGAACATCCGAGGACCTTCGAAGAGCTCGGAAGGCATCCGAAAACCTCCGAGGACATCCGAGGACCTCTGAAGCCTTCAGAGGTCATCAGAGGTATCCGAGGCCCTCCGAAGGCCTCCCCCCTCCTCCTCCTCCTCCTCCTCCTCCTCCTCCTCCTCCTCCTTTCTTCCTCCTGCTTGTCATCATCATCTTTCGTCCTCCGTAGCCTACGTCATTATCCATCCTTCGTCCTCCTCTTCATTTTTTTCCTCGCTCCTCTCGTCGCATCCTCCGGCCGGCCGCCGGCGGAAAGAGCAGCCGGGCCGGGGCGCCGACGACGATGACGACGGACAGCGGACGATGATGGACGGGGTCACAGGATCGGGCCGCATCGCCGATACATCAACGATGCATCAGCGACGTCGGCGGTGCATCGGCGACGCCGAGGTGGAGAAAATCGCGCTCCGATCCCCGACCCGACTTTTCCTCAACAGGGGTTCCCTCGCTTTCCCAGGGGGTGCGCTGACAATAACCGAAGTCGACGATCGACGACGGTTGATTGCCAATCAACCGTCGTCGACCGTCGTTTTGGATTATTGCCAGCGTCGTTGTTTTGAACTTGGCCCCCCGTTTTGTCCAGGCAGGTGCCCCCCCCGAGGTTTTTCTATTCCTCTCGCGCAACGTCATCATTATGGTGTACTAGGCGCGCCGCCGCCTGGGGGGGAAGGGCGGTGGAAGGATAAGGGTCCGTAGGATGATGGGAGGATGAGGGTGGTGGAAGGATGATCTGAGGAGGAGGGTTCGGCAGCAGCGCGACGTGCCGCACGGCGGCCTTCCGAGCAGGGGAGTGGTCGCTCGGGTCTAGAGGCACGGGCAGCCTCCCGACGAACACGCGGGCGCGTACAACGCGCAAACACTTAAACTGCGTGCTCGGGAGGCCCATTCATCATCATCTCTCACCAATTGTCATCATCGCACTCCTCCTGCTCGCCCTGCATCTGCTTCAATTTTGCAGGAGCGCACCTTTCTTTGCGGCAGCCGGCCTCTTGAGCGGTCCCTTCGGCGGTGTGTCATCCTCCTCTTCGTCCTCCTCTTCCTCCTCTTCGTCTGGCTCGTCCTGCTCTTCCTCAGCCTCCTCGTTGTTGCCGTCCTCCTTTTTCGTGCCCTCGTCGTCCACGCGCATGGCGGCGACAAGCCCCGGCTGGTACAACAGGTGACCCTCGGTCTGAAACATGTTCCAGACAGCGGTCTCCCAGTGTTTGATGAGGAGACCCTTGTGCACCTCGGTCAGGGCCAGGCCGAAGTACGGGAGCTTCCTGGCCAGACACCACTCGCCTCGGCTCCCCGTCCCTGCTGTGAGATCGATGTGAGACACAGCTGGCCACGACGAGGACGTCTCGTCATCCAGCTCATGGGGGTGGGCCTGGAAGAAGAGCGGCTCGAGGCCGTCAGCGAACGTGGGCTTCGCAATGTTGCCGTCCGGGTGCTTCCCTCCCACCAGGACCTTCGCGTTCTTGCCGATGGCGTCCTACTAGTGAGACCACCCACGGAAAAAAAATGAAGGAGGAGTTGGGGTGATGAGGGGAGGCGCGGAGGAAAGGGGCGAGGATGTTTCGGGGTGAGTTGCCGCACCAGTGCGCGCCGAACTCGGCCCCCCAGCCTCCACTGGGGCGCTGTTATTCGGGGGCACAGTGGAGCCCTGCAGATGAAGTCAAATGCCCCTCCCCCGCAGAGGCTTCCGTGGAATTGGATGGCAAAAGGCCAGGAGGGGGGATGCCAAACTACAAAAACAAAAGTATCCCAGTGCGACCCTACCTAGGAGTTGGAGCCCCTAGGAAAACAGCATTAGTAGTAAGAGTAAAGCTAAGCTAAAGCTCAGCTAAAGCTAAGCTAAAGCTAAGCTGAAACTAAGATACAGCTAAGCTGAAGCTAAGCTAAAGCTAAGCTAACGCTAAGCTAAAGCTAAGATAAAGCGAAACTGAAGCTAAGCTAAATCTGAGCTAAAGCTCAGCTAAAGCTAAGCTAAAACTGAGCCAAAGCTAAACTAAAGCTAAATATCAAGCTTAACATAAAGCTAAAACTAAGCTAAATCTAAGCTAATTCTAAGCTGAATCTAAGCTAAATATAAAGCTAAAGATAAGCTAAAGCTAAAGCTAAAGCTAAAGCTAAAGCTACAGCTAAAAAAAGCTGAAGCTAAAGCTAAAACTAAGCTAGTGCTAAGCTAAATCTAAAGCTAAAACTACAGCTAAGCTAATGCTGAAGCTAAAGCTAAAGCTAACGCTAAAGCTAAAGCTAAAGCTCCCAGGGGACTGGGGGAACCGCGGGGCGGATGCCGGGGGAACCGCCCGGAGCGGGGTGCACTGCCCGGCCCTTTGCTCATAAAGTAAGAGCCCTTCCAGGCAGAGCCTAGGTAGGGAACAACCTTGGAGGACCAGGGGCCGAGAGAATCCGATGGACCAGTTCCTCTTTCCTCACCTTCCTCCTCCTCCTCCTCCTCCTCTTCCTCCTCCTCCTCCGCTTCCTCCTCCTCCTCCTCTCGTCCTCCTCCCCCTCGTCCTCATCTTCCTCACCCTCTTCCTCCTTCTCGCCTCATCCTTCTCCTCGCCTCCTGCTCAAATTTGGCCCAGGCAAATCCTTGACCATCGCAGGCTCCACGCGCAGAGTGCGCTTGCTGTCGTCCCACGGCACCGCCTGGACGTAGCCCAGCAGCTCCCCGAGGTTCGTCCCCTCGTAGAACTTGTGGTCCCGCTGCTCGACGCTCATCGTGTCCTTGGAGATCAGGTACAAGTGTTCCACCTGCTGGACGTTCGCGTGCCTGTCCCTCCGGAGGCGCTCGCGGAGGCTCTTCTCGCTGTACATGCACTTGATCGTGCGCATGCTCTTCAACATCAACTTGTTCTCCACTGTGCGGAACGGCTTGTCGGTCAATGATGTCTCGTTGCCGTGCTTCGTGCCGTCGTAGATCACGTGCAAGTCTCCTTCGGCGATC